CGAAAATAACCGTTTTGTAGGTGTTAATATATGTGAGGGTCGTGTCTTTCATAAAACCTCTTTATAGTTATTTCGAAAGATCATGTACTTTCGGATGTGTATCCTTTTGAAAATAATTGTTTTGTGGTTATGTGTATATTCTACAAGCTGGTTTAATTCTCGATAAAACTATTTGTGGTTATTTCGAAGGGTCATGTTCTTTTGGTTAGTATTTTATTACTAGAGGGGTAGAGGAACTTAATAGTTATTTACAAGGGTGGCGTCTTTCCGAAAAAGATGTTATATATATTTATTTCATTGAACATTTTGTTATTGTATGGCTACTAATTTCAAAATTCATTCAAAACTGAGAAGCAACGTCATTCTATTATTTTAAAATTATTATTCAAAAGTATTGAAGTTTTTATTATCGTAGAGTTCAAATATATTATAGGATTGTGTTTTTTAGAGTTGCAACTTTTCAAAAATACAGTTTTATGGTTATTAGTCTCTAAGGTTTCGTCTTTTGAAAAGAGTTATTAATTTCTCTTAGAATTACGTTTTTTTCAAAAAAAACCGTCTTATGATTATTAGTCTCTATGGATTGCGTCTTTTCAAAAAAATAGTTTATGGTTATTAACGTTTCGTACATTTGTGTCTTTTCAAAAGACCTATGGTAAGCATTGGGTTGCGTCTCTTGGAACAAAATTTTTATGGTTATTAATGTTATGATTGCGTCTTTTCGAAAAAAATCTTTTGTGGTTATTAATACATTCGAGAATTATATTTCTGAATAAAAAAATAGTTTATGGTTATTAATGCATCTTACGGTTGCATCGTTTTCAAAAATTTCGTCTTATGAATTGCGTATTTCCAAAAAATTGGTCTATATAAAAATACATATTTTCAAAAAACAGTTTTATAGTTATTTTTCATTAGGTTTGCATATTTTCGAAAAATCCGTTTTATGGTTATTAATGCATGGTAGAGTTGCTTCTTTTCCAAATAACCATTTTATAATTATAATTCATTATACGGTTATGTCTTTTCAGAAAAAACCATTTTATGTTATTAATGCATTTAAGGGTTGCATCTTTTCAGAAAAAGCTATTTTATGGGTATTAGTGAATCTTAAGGTTGCATCTTTAAAAAAAAACGGTTTTATAGTTATTAGTAATGAATATAGTTGCATCTTCTTTGAAAAACTTTTTTCATGGTTATTAATACATTATAGGATTGCGTCATGTTCTCATAATGTTTTGGTGTATTTTCATTTATAACCAACTTATTTTTTTTAGATAGTTTGTAATGTTGCGTCTTTTTTTTTCACTTCTACCGTAAAAATATTAAAATTATTTAAGAT